TTCCATACATTATAAGTTACTTTAACGTATATTAATTTTTGAGAAAAACACTGAAATTAAACTACAACCATGATTCTCGATCAACAATTGCCTCGTCAGCATTATATGAGAAGCACAAGTTCAATAAATGTAGATGCAATAAACCATATGATCAAGTTAATAATTTTTTCACAATAGGATTCTATGGTGAACCAAGAGGGTTAAGCAATTCAATTTTTATGTAATATATTTTATACGAAGCAAATGTCTACCCAAAAGTAACCTAATATTAGAGATTTCTGTCTGAAAACAATGTCTGAATATTTGAACAGAACAAAAGATGGTTTGAAAGGTAAGATTTCTACTGGTGCATTTTAAATTAGTAATTACTAAATCATAATGCCTAAACAATTGATGCACATCCTCAATCAGGTAAGTAGTTTCATTTGTGTACCACTGTGGAAACATAATATTCAAATTCTTATAATACTTAACCATTAACATGACTTGAATTTATTCCTTTTCATATACTGGGATTGAGATAAAGTATACAAATTTGTAATGAATGACAGTTCTAGTCAATAGCTACTATCATAATTAAGAATGAGTGTTTTGTTTAGTTTGTAACTCCTCAGTTGAATGTGCCATCATACCAATGTGACGCTATTTTCACTGAGATTCAAACTCAGAGCAGACTATACAGAGAAATAGGAAATTTCGTGCTGTTCAGTCTGAGTTTATTGTGGTTGATGGAAAAAGTAATATTTTATTTTATCAGCTAATTTTATCTTTAATGACTAAGAATAAGTTGTTGAATCAATATATATATATATATATATATATATATATATATATATATATATATATATATATATATATATATATATATATATATATATATAGCCTTTGATTGGACATTTGAATATACCTTCAAACTGTAAAGCTTTTAAGGATTACATGGGAAGATTTGAAATCTGGAGTTTTGGAGATGACAATGTTGTGGCGTATTTACTTACACTTATCGAAATAATATCTACAATTTACTAAAATATTTGACATTTCCAGATAAGCCGATTTCACTTCCCTACGAAACTTAAAGAACTACTACTAAATCATGTAAAGTGGACAAATTTCAAATTCTGTGAAGGAGTGGAATTTCATAGAACAAATCATCAGAGTAACTAGAAGGTTAGAGAGTTTATTTCCGAATTATAAAAAAAGTCGCAAAGTCATAATATAGCGATCAACTTCACGTCGAGCTGCATGACTCATCGATTGCAGGCATTAACATACCAAATCTAGAAAGAGATCTTATGAAGATGATAGAACTACGTGTATTAATTATGTGATAGTAAATGAAGGTGACTTCCAGGACACCGAAAATTCTGCTACTTTACTTAGTTGTCCTAATCCAAATACTCATAACCATCACAGTAATGCAAAGCAGTAGAAAGGGTGAGAACAAGTTCCGCAAATATTTGTCATGCATTAAACTCCGTTCACATAATTCGTGCGGACTTTGTCACGCAAGTGGGACGTATCAAGTAGGTTTGTGAAACTACTGTAGTACGAATTCTATTAAATCAAATGTTTAGAATGACATTTTTTCCACGGTTTCGAAAGATGATTTCCATGAGCGGAAGCGATTATATACCTTCCTTCTCCGTTTGAATATGAGGTGTGTTATTGAGATAAAGATTTCGTCTACCCTGTATATAGCTATCAATTTAATCCACGTTAGTGAAGAACGGAATAATATCTCAAGTTTGAGAGTGAATTTCTGATACATGAATTTCATACAGTCCTTGTCATAAATAGATAATAAAAAACGAAGCAGGGAAGTAGACTGAAGGAGGAAAACATATTAACGCGCTATACTATTCGTTACAAGCGTTAACTTAGCTCAGAACGGATAATGCGTAGTGCGGCAAAGATAAAATAACGAGTGACAGGCAAACGTGCATAAGGATTATGAGTGCAGAAATACAGGGACATAGAAACAAGACGTGTATTTGTACTGAAGGGAATAGTGTTATTATCGATGGCGGAAAAGACTCAATGTTACATGTTGTTTAAGTTACCAAAATCCATTCAATTGCTAGAATGAATCATGTATGTATTATTAATAGGGGCAAGACTACTTACTTACCTACTTACATGCGACTGGTACTCCCAGTGAAGCATAGGACGTTCGCCACTCTATCCCGGGCCTTCTTTTCCAGTTCCATCCAATTCTTGTTCATTCTTCTCATGTCTATCTCCATTTCTCGACGCAATGTGTCATTTGGTCTTCCTCTCCTCCTTCGACCTTGAGGATTCCATGTGAGGGCTTGCCTTGTCACGCGCTTGGGTGCTTTCCTCAATGTGTGTCCTATCCACTTCCAGCACTTCTTTCTGATTTCGTCCTCCGTTGGGATCTGGTTCGTCCTCTCCAACAGTAGGTTGTTGCTAACAATGTCCGGCCAACGGGTCCGAAGTATTTTGCGTAGACAGCTGTTAATAAACACTTGTATCTTCTGGATGATCGCTCCAGGTTTCGACCTCATACAGTAGAGCTGTCTCGACATTTGTATTGAAAATTCTGACCTCGGTGTTGGTTGACAGTTGCTTTGAGTTCCAGATGTTCTTCAGTTGCGAATTTTCTGGTTTGGCTTTTCCGACCAGCGCCTTCACATCCGCTCATCAATGATGCTGCTCGGATATGTAAAGGTCTTTACATTTTCCAAATCTTCTCCGTCAAGTGTGATTTGATTGGTGCATGTTATGTTGTATCGGAGAATTTTTCTTTTTCTTTTGTGTATGTTGAGACCTACTGCTGCTGAGGCTGCTGCTACACTGGTCGTCTTTTCCTGCATTTCTTGTTGCGCAAGCGATAGAACAGTCAGATCATCTGCGAAGTCTAGATCTCCCAATTGCATCCTAGATGTCCACTGTATTCCGTGCTTCCCTTCAGATGTTGACATCTTCATGATCCAGTCGATCACCGGGAGGAAGAGAAAGGGTGAGAGTAAGCAACCTTGCCCGACACCGGTCTTTACTTCGAATGACTTTGTCAACTGTCCTCCATGAACGATTTTGCGGTTAAATCCACCGTAGGAATTCCGCATGATATTGACTATCTTCTGAGGCACGCCGTAGTGTCGAAGAAGCTTCCATAGGGTTGTTCTGTCCGCGCTATCAAATGCTTCTTCGTAGTCAGTGAAGTTGATGTAGAGTGTTGAGTTCCGTTCAATCGATTGTTCCACAATGATCTGTGGTGTTTTGCTTTGGTCGGTCCTTACGGAGTCGAGCCTGTTGGTCTCGAATTTGGGTGTCTACGGAGTCCTACATCCTGTTTAACAATACCTTCTTAAAAACTTTCCCTGGTATAGAGAGAAGACTGATGCCTCTGTCGTGATCACACTTGCTTAGATCGTTTTTCTTTGATGCCTTGATCAGGTATCCTTCTTTCCAGTCCGTTGATACTTGTTCTTCATCCCAAATCTTTTTGTAGAGAATGTGTAGTATCCTTGCAGTTACCGCTACGTCTGCTTTCAGTGCCTCTGCTGGAATGCTGTCTAGTCCTGCTGCTTTGCCACTCTTGATTTGTCTGATAGCCATGCTGATTTCTTCAATTGTCGGTGCGCCAACATCAATTGGGAGGTCCGTGAGTGCCGCTTCGATGTTGGGTGGGCTCAGTGGGGCTGGTCGATTCAAGAGTTCTTTGAAGTGTTCTACCCACCTGTTTCGTTGTTCTTCAATGTTGGTGATTATCTTGCCTTCCTTGTTTTTCACTGGTAGTTCTGGTTTACGGTGATTTCCAGAGAGATTCTTTGTTGTTTCATACAGTTGTCTCATGTTTCCTTCTCTGGCAGCCTTTTCCGCCGTCAATGCCAAATCTTCCACATATTTACGTTTGCCAGTTCTGATGCTCCTTTTCACTTGCTTGTTTACTTCTGTGTATTCAGCCTGTGCCTTGACTTTGTCTGCTCTTGTTCGACTGGTATTGATTTCTGCCTTCTTGTTCCTCCTTTCTTGAATCTTATCCAGTGTATCGACCGTGATCCAATCCTTGTGATGGTGCTTCTTTTGGCCCAGAACCTCATGACATGTTGAAGTGATTGCCTCTTTTATCTCTTTCCAGTTGCTCTCCATAGTAGTTCCTTCTCCATTGAGTAGATTATGAAACACCTGGAACATATTGCTGAGGGTTATCTTGAATTTATTGAGTTTGTCAGTGTCCCGAAGAAGAGCCGTATTAAACTTTCGTGATATTATCCGCCCCGTTGTTCAGTGCCTCTTGAGTTTCAATTTCATCTTGGTGACCAGCAAGTGATGATCTGATGCTATATCAGCTCCTCTCTTTGTTCTCACATCCTCCATCGTCCTCCTGAACTTTTTGTTGATGCAGATATGGTCGATTTGGTTCTGTGTGCTGTGATCCGGTGAAGTCCATGTGGTTTTGTGGATGCGTTTATGTGGGAATATAGTCCCGCCTATGACCAGTTTATTGAAGGCACATAGATTTGCAAAGATCTCACCATTTTCGTTCCTTTCTCCCAGTCCGTGTCGTCCCATGATCTCTTCGTATCCGGTGTTGTCAGTTCCAACCTTAGCATTTAGGTCTCCCATCAGAATAGTCAGGTCTTTTGTTGGGCACTTCTCGACGATTGACTGCAGCCTATCGTAGAATTGATCTTTAGCGTCTTCATTGTAGTCATTGGTAGGCGCGTAGCATTGGATGACGTTCATTGTAATCCCCGTTTTCTTTGTTTTGAAGGAGGCTTTGATGATCCTTGGTCCATGAGATTCCCATCCTATAAGTGCATTTTGTGCTTGTTTGGACAGCATCAATGCAACTTCTTGTGTATTTATATGTATATATGGGACTAATTATCTACTACATAATTGACTTTTATTAATCTCATCCTCCTGACAGTATATTATGTATTTAGGTATTGAATATTTGACCGACGCTACTTCGAATGGTGAGGTACATATGCTGGTGATAATTTAACTGGACGTATAACTTAAATTCAGTCGGTCATCAGTCTTAACTCTACATGTAAGCTATCTCAATTGATTTTGCTGTGATTTGGCTTATGCCAGATTTTCTTAAGTACATATTCCTATATATACGGTCGTCTGACCATACCACTCCATATATATGGAGTGATGGACATACGTTCATCAGCTAATTCGTTTCACAAGCTAAAATTGGGGAATGACATTAATTTTTAATCAAAAAGCATTTAGAGCCCAGATTTTTTTGCATTTTCAGGCTCGTATTTTGCGAAGCTGACCAAGCTCCCCAGACCTGGGGAAATTTTGGGGTTTTTGTGCCATTTCCCCAGAATCTCCCCAAAATAGGTAAAACTTTTCCACAGATTTGGGAGCTTGGGTGTCCCCTGATTGCTTCAAAAGTAGGTAGGACGATCGTTTCAGTCCTGTAGACACCAGGGTGGATTATAATCCACCCTGAATATATTCAGATTTTTGCTCCTCGTTCACTCCTATTATTAACAAAGTTTCCCCTTGATCGCTTGGATTCTGGGAAAATCTCAAGATCTCATCTCTTAGCTACCAAGAATACATTTCGACTACTCAGTTTGACAGGGAGCTTGATCTCACACTCCCTCATACAATTTTTTGATTTATCATTATGTAAAACATAAGAGCCTAGCTGTAGAAAACTACTGAACCATATAATACTTGGTCTATTTTGTGGCTGTGTGTTCAGGGCCATGTTTTGCACATACGGCCCTACTATTGACCTCGTCCCTATCCTATGCTTCCTAAATATCATCTGCAGTATTCATCTTTCGATAATCAGCCGTTCTTATGAACAGGAGAAAGATCAATTGAAAACCACTCGATCGCTCAAAAATAGTTGGAAGTAAGTTCTATGGATAATGGCTTATCCGTAATCAACAATCATACTTAGCTTGTTTGCTCTGTCCTGATTCTGCCCAACACAGTGAATAAATATACAGAAGACCTATTAAATTGTGTACGATATAATCTTTAACAACTCGATTATGTAGTCTGTGTAAACAGTACATAGTAAATATACAGGTCATCAAGGTCTGTAAAACCGAACCTTGCAGCCAAGCGACCTTGGAATTTGTCCTATTAAGCCTACTAAGTCGGTCAGCTACAACGTAGGACCAGGAGCATATATGCACCAGTCCAAGTTCCCATAACTCATTAGCTCAACAAAATAAACACCAAATTCACAGAAGTAGTTACTTCAGTGGTAGTAAAAACACTTCATATAAGGATATGATACAGGGAGAAAGGATTATTTCGTAGAAAGGAAGTTCTAAAGTGATTTTGTTCTCATGGTTTAAAGGAAGGCAAAGAGTGTATACACCTACGTCATTGTGATCGATTCTGAGCCATGTCACCAAGAGTCTCCAACTATTGGTTACGATAGTTGCACGGACCCCAACCAAGTAGTCTGCATCTACCAATATGGCTAAGACCAGAAGTTGGTGACTTCAAGCACTGATGCCACGTTTTGGTTTGACCGCCTCTAACTTACTTCCAACCATCCGCAACACCGGTTAGTGTTGCACGTCGTGGTAATCAGTGTTCAGGCATACGTAACACGTGCCTCAACCATCTCAGTCGATGAAGATTCACAACTTCATCAACTGATTTACCATCATTCCCTAATACCCTACGTCTAACCTTACTATTACTTACCCGTTGATCCCAGTAGATATGAGCAATGTTTTTAAGATATTTGTGGTCAAACACTAGTTGCTTACGAATATCTACTCTTAATGACTACGTTTCACAGCCATAAAGTAAAACAACAAACTGCTGTGCAGTATACCCGTCCTTTAATTGATAGGCCGATATCTCGCCTTCGCGATAGGTGATGTACGTTGGAAAAAGCCGAAAGATATCTTTGAATCTTTGCAGAGATTTCATTAGACACCAATACATTAGTGCTGATCAAACTTCCAAGATGAGTGAAGTTGTGGACGCGTTCAACTACTTCATTTCCTGTCCTTAGTTCAGGTGTTGACGCAGGCCAGTCCTGAAGCAACAACTTACATTTAGAAGGAGAGAGGCGCATTCCAAACATCCTGGTATCGTTGCTCAATGCTACCAAAAGACACTTAATTTTATCAGCGTCTTCACCAAACAAGACTATGTCATCTGCGTATTCTAAGTCGATAGGAGATCGATTCCCGAAAATTCAGTTGACGAGGACGTTGTTTCCATCAGTATGTCTATGATAAAGTTGAGCAAAAATGGCGATAGTAGACATCCGTTTCGGACACCATTTGAGGTTGCAAAATCAGATGACAGTTCACCATAAGCTCTGATTCGACTAGTAGTGTTCCAGTAGAGAGTCTTCACAAGGTTTATGTACTTCTGAGGTACGCCTTTCAACGACATAAACTACCACAGAACCTCACAACCATCAGTCAAATGCTGCTTTTAAGTCGAGAAAAACCACCATTGTCGGACGCCGACAAGCATGCCTGTATTCTAGAACCTGATGAATGATGAATACGTGGTCGATGCAGCCACGACCAGGTCTGAAGCCAGCCTGATTTTCTCGTGTTTGCAGTTCACGAGTCTTTGTTAGGCATCCGGTAATTATTGAGGCTAGTATTTTAGACGCTATATTAGTCAAACTAATCCCTCTATGGTTATCACAGGACAATTTGTTCCTTCCTAATATATTGGGACTGTCAGTGATTGCGACCAGTCAAATGGGATTATATCCACTCCCTAGATTTTAGCTAAAATATTAGTCGACCCAATGGTTAAAACTGGACCACCATCTTTAGAGACCTCTACAGTCAACCCATCTGAACCAGCTTCTCTTTTTATCGTTTCAGATTAGCTATGTCTTTTTTAAACTTCAATGAGAATCGAGGGGCCTACTTCAATGTTCCATTCAGGGTGTTTGGAAATGGTGGGTAGCTGAAGGCCAGCCTAACAATACCTCAAAGTGTTCCACCCATCGTTCTAAACGTCTGGACTGAGAGCAGATATAAATGTCTTTTTCCGAAATAGTCTCACTTACACTTGACTTAATAATTCCAGTTTCTTTTATTAGTCTGTAGAGCTGTCTTGCGTTACCAACAGCCGCCGCCTTTTCCATCTCTTTTGCTTTCGTTGCCCACCACTGCTCACGGTTGTTCCTTAGACTTTTGCTTAACATAGATCTCATTTGTTTTCTCTCTTCATTGTGTTCAGAGCCTGGTGGGATGAGTTTACGAGAATCCATCAGTGCTCTAGACTTAGAAGAAATCCACTGGTTTTTCGTGACCCTTTGGTTACTAACAGATGTCACTGCTGTTTTCACAGCTGTTTGTATATCTTTCCAAGCAACATCTGGGTCATCCTCGTTTTTAGAACTGCCTAAGCGTGATTTCAGTTGTTCCTAAAACCTACTTTTGGCTTTCTCGTCACTCAATTCAATTCTAATGGGTCTTTTTAATATGGCTTTTCTGTGTCCAGTGAGGCTCAAGCTCATGCATGCTCGTATTAGAGCACGATCAGTTTCTAAACATGTATTCCGGAAAGATTGGCGGTCTTTTACCGATGACTGATGGCAATATGGTCTATTTGAGTCCATCGTTGATTTGGTGCAGGTGATCGCCATGTTAGACGGTGTGATTGTAAGAAACTGGGCCGGAATACCAAGATACGCACCCAAATATCTTTCTATTTGGGCGTGAAAGTCACCTGAGACGAGTACTATATCTGAGCGTTTAGCTTTTTGAAGTTCAGAGAGCTTTCTGTAAAATTCATCTTTCACTTCACCCGAGCTGCAGTCAGTTGGAGCGTTAGCAGAAATAACGCAGAGGCTTTGACGTATATCCCTATCCTTCCGAGTTCTTACGGAGCTCCGTACTTGTTGAGACCTTAGCTCTGGAGACGGATATCCGTGAGATAAGGCGAGGTATACATCTTCAGGGTCGACCTTTTCTAACCCCACTCTTCCTTTGTGGGAAAGTGGCACCGCTGTTACGCTGGTTGTCTGAGGGAAACACCTTAATGCCGTCACACCTCTACAGTCAGCAGTACGACTTCGCCCTCGGACCTTGTGTTTGCTGCTTTTAGTCTTGCTGTTCTTCAACCGATCTGCTTGGCATGGTAGGACCTTGAGGAACGATTGTTGCAGCCAGTATAGCCCGATTGGTTCATCGCGATAAAGTCTACCAAAAGACAGTAAAGATTTTTAAAAATGATATATTATACTGCTGGGACTTTTAATTTGGAGTTTGGATTCTTGCATCATAACTGATATCAGTTCGTGATGAATACTCATTTGCCACATCAATAATATTTCAGTGTTATCCGGGAACTAGAGAGTGCACCAACGTCATCGAATGAGTCGATAGTTGTCCCTATCTTTAAAAAGGACTCACTTTGTTTCCGTAACAACTATCGGGGGATAAGTCTACTTTCAATTGCGTCCAAGCTATTGGCTTCCGTTATACTTCGTAGGTTGTTCAAAACCCGAGAAGGATTGACTCGCGAGGAGCAGGCTGGGTTTTGTTCTGGTCGAGGATGTATTGATCATATCTTCACCCTCCGCCAAATGTTAGAACACCGTCATACTTATCAAAGACCAACAATCGTAGTGTTTCTTGACATCAGGGCTGCCTTCGATCCGTTGGATAGGACTGTTCTGTGGGAGTGTCTATTGAAGAAGGGTGTGCCTGAGAAGCTTATTAACATCCTAAAATCTCTATACACAAACACCTCAGGCAGAGTGAGGGCATACAACCACCTCTCTACATTGTTCTATTCGAGCAGTGGGGTTAGGCAGGGTTGCCCAATCTCACCATTCCTCTTCAACTTTGCCATCGGTGACATTCTGGAAACAGCTCTGACGGATGTAAGTAATGGTGGTGTGGGTCTGTTGCCTGGAGAAAAACTTCTCAACCTTGAGTATGCGGATGATATTGTCTTACTGTGCGATAATGCCCAAGCCATGCAATCCGCACTTAATCAGTTGGCAATCAATGTCCGTAGGTATGGTATGTGCTTTGCACCTTCGAAGTGCAAAGTACTTCTACAAGACTGGCAGGATTCTAATCCTGTACTCACTCTGGATGGTGAGCAGATAGAAGTAGTCGAGAAGTTCGTGTATCTAGGTCGCTGCATAAGTGCTGGTGGTGGGTGGTGTGAGTGATGAGATCAATGCACGTATAGTGAAAGCTGATATGAGCCATCTTTGGCGCCTTCGTGATGTTAGTCTGGCTGTAAAAGGTCGGATCTACAACGCGTCGGTGAGAGCAGTTTTGCTCTATGCTTGTGAAACCTGGCCTCTCCGAGTTGAGGATGTTAGACGACTCTCTGTGTTCGATCATCGTTGTCTCCGAAGGATTGCTGACATCCAGTGGCAACACGATGTTAGTAATGTAGAGGTTCGGCATCGTGTGTTCGGGCACAGAGACGATAATGCAATTGGTGTCACCATCTTGAAACACCGACTTCGGTGGCTTGGACATGTTCTACGAATGTCGTCCCAGAGAATTCCACGTCGTGCATTATTTGCCGACTCGGGGACTGGTTGGAAAAAGCGGAGAGGTGGTCAGTGTATGACATGGTGTCGTGGTATGAAACAAAGCTACAAAGGGCTAGCTTCTGTTAGTCCTTCACGACTCCCTGGCTGTGGTCCGAGAGTTGGTGTAACACAGTGACTAGAGACGTTATCATATATGGCTCAGAATAGGAACCAGTGGCGATCCTGCTGTAACCTTCTTTTACTTTCTTCATAAAAAGTTGTTGCTTCTTGCTTAACTGAAAGATTTCTTCTGATTGTACCTTTCTGTTTTTCCCCCATTATTGTTTTCTCTTTTGTTTTATAATTCCGTACATTCCTTACCTTTTTCCCTTCTCTTTAAATTCTCATTGTTTTGTGTGGCGCATATATATTTGGTGCTCTCTTGTACCAATATTTATGTGTTCAAATAGATAAATAATAAATAAACTTATAGGTTAATATAGCGCCTATCTATAATTAGACAGTTTCAGGAAATATTTCACTCAGTTTTTCCTCTAAATGACCCAATGGAGATACATAGTCAATTTATCCTGTGAAGCAGGTACACCATAGTACACAAACTCATGTGTGACTATTGGTGTTTTTTTTATTCTCTACTAACCGTCACACGACATAACACGATTCACTAATTTACTTGCGATTACTATTTCATTCACTCTATTTTGAGATGCCGTCGTCTGAAAATAACTATCCAGGAGCTGCTAGTCTAATTCAGGATATTGGAAGTTCGTTGTGATTGGTGGCCCAACGATCTTTTGTAGAAAAAATGGCGATTATTGTACGAGGAGGTCGTGTGTTTATTGGATTTCTTCGAATAATTGACCAGTTTGGTAAGATATATCCAATTTATATATCGGTAGGCAATGTCGTCCTTCATAATGCTATGGAACGTATACATGTGGCGAGAAAATTCTGTGACGTTCCCCAGGGAATACTTTTGATTAGAGGTGAAAATATTACAATTATCGGGGAACTGGTAAGATAATAAACTTTTCGATATATATAAGAACTGCCTTATTTTCTAGTTGGGGAACAGCTAGGAATCAAGAAATCCCATTAATATATCACTAATAAGATTTCTTGGCTTCTGGCCGTCCTCCAATTGATAAGTAAAGTAGTTTCAAGTTAATCGAAATAGGATAATATAAATGACCGATCGCTATTAGGTTTTACTAGAGGTCGATTTGTGTAACTGTTTTGATGAAGCCATGTAATAGTTTGGTTAGCTTAAAATTTTGCAGGAATGTCCAGTCACCTGGACATAAATATGGTAAGAACAGTTACATGCTCTTATTAGTAACGCATACTCCAAGACTGGTCTATGGTAGTGCCTTGGTTAAAGAAATTGTGTTGTGATCTAGATCAGTGGTTAATAGTTTTAACTCGGATGTCAAAAGCCTGCTTGGATCCCGATCTGCTTAACATTCGGCGGTGATATATAATAGGGGATAGATATGCGACGCTACAGTTTGTTGTCACTGATATAAACGTTAGTATATAATTATCTCTGGCAGATTATCACTAAGTTCTATATGTGAATGAAATATTTCATTTTATCTTACCCCCTTTGGTTAATATGCAACAGTAGCACAAAGCCAATTACTACTAAACTGTCACCAAGGTGAGCGTCACTGACAAAGTGAACTCTTATGTAGTATGGTCCAAGCTGCCCAAGTTAAGAACTCAAACGGTTTGCCCAACAGACAGTAAGGAATCCATTTGCACATTTGTTAACGAAGTGCATTTTTCTCTCTAACTTTTCCTTCCTTTACAGAATCCGGAAATAAACATCGACGAGAAGCTAGAAAGAGTTTCAGAAGAAGAGATTTATAAGCTCCAGCAAGAACAGACAGCCTCACGCAAAGAACTAGCCAAGAAGCGAGCTGAACTATTCGCGATACGTGGATTAGGTTTTCCCGACTTCTTAGATATAATTGACGACACATAGTCGTTGTATATTTTTTTTTATCATGATCATTAAGTCGTCGCAAGTTACATAGTGTGTCAATAATTGATAATAAAACATTGCTTAAATCAACTATACATATGCTTATGAACACTATCCATATTCATGCAGAAATTTATTATACGGAAAAAATATCTTTCAAATAATAAATTAGTACAGTATTTTTTGTGACAATGGCTCCAAGTAATGATATTACCTCAGTTTAGGATACTTGCAATAGATTAAATATATCTTTGGAATTGGTAAAAATACACTGCTTACAAAAGAAACGATTACATCGAATCCCCACTTTGGTTAAATAAACTTGTTCCGTACGGTTCATGTTTGTCAAATCAACGATACTTACTACTTTACCATGATTAACATCTCATTCCATCATTTTTTTATTAGTATCCCAATGATGCCTTCTTTGTAGTGCACCAATAAGCACAACAAACTGCTTTCAAGATGGTCACTTGGTATACATATATGGGGTTCGACTAAGGATTTTCGCGTGGTCATTGCTCTTCATTAGTTGTGCATAGTGCATTCGTCATTAAACATCAGATTTTGGTAAAGTATCCGCACCGTGATTGGATTCTGTTTGAATCTGGCCACAACCCATACATTCTTTCTTTGGCATACATTGCTTTACAGACGAATAAATGTAGACACTAAGAGACTGTTGTGTTTAATCATCGGTAAGTAGAAAATTTAATAACACTAGTTGCGTAAGTTGTGCATTTTAAGATTTCAATATATAACACAGATACATCTATAAAAAGTACATTGAATTCAATCAATTTTCTGAAAAGCTGAAAAACAATAGATCTGAAGCCGCAGGAAAAATTTGGAAAATTAATTACAGTAAAAATGTTATCAGATCCCAACCCCCGTAAGATTCGCATCCAGTTGCTGAAGATTCGGTAGAGCTAATAGTATTTTTCGTCGGTAATTAGAATCATGTTTTGTACGGTCTGTGCTTAGAAAATAGATTGGATTGCGCTCCATATACAAAGTTCGCAGCTTTTTTAATACCCTTAACTTTTCTAGCTGCTCCCAGTCAGATATCTTATTGTCATTGCACCAAAATTCTTCTAGATTTTCCAAATTCGACATGTTTTGAATCTGTGATATGAAGTTGTACGCCAAGTCTAAGATTTGTAACTTTGATAATGTTTCAAGGCCTTCAATTTCTGTTATCCCATTCTCGCTCAGATACAGTTGCTCCAGATTAACAAGATTAGTTAATCCATCTATTTTGGTCAGTCTGTTACCCTACATAATTAATTAAATGGAACATGAAGACAAAAAACGTTAGTGCAGTTGGACAATCGTAATAATTAAAGGGATACTTGGTGAATCTCGTAATACTGCTTTCTTGTGACATTATTTTGTAGTTACTGAAGCTTCGCTTTCCATCAACTAGAACAGGTTTGAGAATTACAAGTTCAGTATACATGACCTAGATTGTTTTATACTAATGGGTGCTCGATTATTGTTCGCTAGTGTTGTGATAAGGGTTTCCTTAAAAGTGGACCTAAACATACAGCTACCACTAATCACGTTTCGGAAAAATTAGACAAATTGTTTAATTTCGAGTGCGAGCTGTTGCTCTTACATTACAGTTAAGATATCATTTGCAATGATCAAGTCAGACGGTACTATTTAGGGTGGCAGTCTCTTAATTTGTACTATCTCACGAAGGCTGGACAGATTTTGGTCGTAACTTGATACAATATTGAGATACTGTAGGTTTAGTGTCTATTTAGGGGGGGAAACGCTACTACGACACATAAGGTCTCCGTGAATTATGACTACAATCAAGGGATTGGCGCTTTTGGACACGGCTCGAACTAGTGTTCAACGTCTCCATGGATTTATCATAATATCTCTGCTGCAGCTCTTTTAAACCCCCTTCTATGTAGGTGAGTATTAGGAGCTAGGGTAGATGGTAGCTGGTCAGTCAGTAAACACTTACGGATCCTAATAGGTCTTCAAATCCTACTCGTTGCCTCATGCTTAGCGCCAGCACTTCTTATTTGGACATCTCAGCGTAGGTAACCAATACTTCGAAAACATACAGGCAAACAATTGAGAACCATGTCTTCTACTCTCGTGGAACATAATTTTCGGTTATTCCATGAAACAGCGCACTTCGGCGTAGTATGGTATAATACGAATGGGAAAGATATTGAGAAAGATTTGATTGAGCATAAGATTTAGTGCAGTTAAAAGTATGTGGGTGACTGACACTTTCTGGTCCATTAATTCTTTCTGTGAAATTTTGTTAACTTGAACATGAACGCGGAACTCAATGGATGTGTTTGAATCCGATCACGCATTGTTTTTGTAAATGTTTTTTGATGTGTAAGCTCTGTACGTTTAAGGTCTTTCGTCGGATAACTATAGTAGTAAGAACGGTGTGTTATAGTTAGGGTCGAACCACTCTTCGTCTGTGGAAGGGTTAGATTTTTAGGGGTCCTGGTTATCTATGGAAATTACCTTACTATATCAGTAATGCTACCTCACTCTCGGATCCTAGATTTGCTGCCTTTTTCCTAACCTGTTTAAAAGTCTTTATTTGTATTTGTGACTATTGCGCGCCCATCGGTAAAATTGTTGGTTTTGAAGGTTTTTATAAGCTATACTTTAAGTCCAAAATATATCTTGATGTATGTAATATGAGAAAATATACTCACCTGAATGCTAAGAATGGTTAGATTAGTCAAGTTATCCAAGTTTTCCATTGTTGGTATTTTGTTTTTACCACAATAAAGTTCAGTCAGTTTTTTTAATTCATCCAAGTTTTCTAGCTTCCCTATTTTGTTTGAACCAAGTTCCAATAGTTCTAGGTCTTGCAAATTGCTCAGATTCTCTATTTTTGAAATATGATTGTTTACGAAATACAGTTTCCGGAGATTACTTAGATTCTCCAAGTTTTCGATACGTTTTATCCGATTAAAGCTCAAATCAAGATTAGTCAGCTTTGTGAGGCACTCTAAATTTTCGATCTGAAAATAAGATACATGGAATCGTCACAAGACTTGTCATAGTAAGGCTTATAGTAGCGTTAAATGATTGTATTATGAAATATATTTGACTTGTAACCGTTTATATCGTGATTAAGTCTGTGTTCATTTTATTCGTTTATGATGAAAAACTGTAAACATAATGGTGAAAGTGAAGGCAACCAAATAATAGTAAATACTGAGGACACTGGTGGAAAGAGAACGAGTATGTTGAATACATTCGTCATAAACAACGAAATATCATTTAGATCACCCGACAATTAACCCTTAATTTTTGTTGTCTCGTAGAACTTGCCAGTCAATAACTTTGCTTTGTTTAAGCACTTGAAGTTTGACCTGATCGGCTTCGACTTTAACTCACCTCGTATTCATATGTGCAGCGGTCAATGATACATAAAATGCTTTAAGCAACCTATTCGTTAAATGTTTACGAGATCTATCCGATAAGTGCATTTTGCATCTAATTTTACCATATCTGAAGATTTATATAAATGACCCAAGGGATTTAAAGATGCCCAGAAATGAATAACGTAATCTTAACATTGGCCAGCAAATGCTGAATGAACAATCAAGGGTTTGGAAATAGCTATCGGAAGTATAATGTATGTATACTTACAATCTACAGTCTTGGATAACTGTCGTTTCAGAAAGACAATCGGAACATGAGTCCATCGATTTTAGGGTCAAATACAGACTTCCTCATTAGGGTCAGGAATACTAACATGATCTATGGTTGGAGATCGCGACTGGAATGGGTTGAAATTAGTCACAGTGACGTAACTACTCTCATTATTTGGCCTTCTCTAAATCCTGGGTCTAAATTTTTCACTTTATCTCCTAATATTGTGTTTTTCCCTCACTATGTTTTATGTATTTAGTCGTCCACTGTCAGTGATAATATTCCGACTCCCAAATCTTCATCCCGCTGATGTGCAGTGTGGTGGACTGCGACGATATATGAATCAGGTCCTACGTTGTTTAGAGATATGACAGGTCTTCTAATCAAACGTCTAATCAACATACTCATTACTGGTAGAGGTGCTGATCGTTCCTAGTAGACAAGATAATGTTGTCAAAACTTAAGTTGTCAATATGACAGCTTTTATTATGAGAAACTACACATTTCGATTCCTAGAAAGCTCTTTTAGTACGGATTGAAATGGATTTGTCTAATATTAATTAGATGGATAGCGACAATGAGTTCCAGTCACAATGTTAATTCATCTACCTCAACGATAACAATATAAAACATGTTAATTTTAGGTTTAACTGGTTCACTCGTATCAGAATTGCTGACATATTATTTATTTGATAACGCTAAGCTAACCACTGTCACCATAAGTTGAGACGTATGTGTAACTAGCGAGTGAAAAAACCAGTCTCATGCATAAACTAATGGGTACCAATGTTGCTAACCAACAAGTCAAAAGTAATTTCAAAGCAATTATATCCCGTATATGGTAGACCTATCACACTGTTGCAATCTATACCGTGACAAAAGCGGTCATTACATTTTGTTGGAAAGTTTACCTTAGTGATTTGATTATCATAAACGTCCAGGTCTTCAAGTGTTTGAGAAATAGGCTCGAAGTTTTCCAACTTTTTCAGTAAGTTGTTTCGAAGACATAATGAGCGTATATTTGGAAACCGGCTTAGTTTACTGATACATTTGATTCGACAATGTTCAAGGTATATTTCTTCGTCTTCTACGTTAGGTATATCAACTTCATCTATTTCGAAAGTATCTGACTGATGTTGTTCCCCGACCGCATCTTGAAACTGCAGTTTACTCTGATCAGCCATCAGAAAATCGCCAAGTACAATATACTGAATTGCTAAGACCTGTAAATGACTCGCAACATTAAGTAATCAATGTGAAGAAAACAACTGATCAATAACACTCTGTTAAAAAGACATAACATCGGTGCAAGGGTACATAATTACCGCTCTTTCATTCGGCGACCTTGAGCCCCCCCAAGGCAATCATTTAATGTTTGAAGTATCCTAGGTCTCTGAGATGTTTGCGAGCCAGCTTACATTTAGAAGACCTGCATGTATCAGAAAACGCCTAATAACGCAAATCCATATGCTTTTTAAATATCTTGCAGCTGAAGAAAAGCTCTGGGGTGCTTTTCCAATCGTGCAGTTTCAATTTGGAAAGAACAGGAGGCTTGATGGTCTGTGTTAGTCCTGGCAATGGTGGTCTCTCAGTTGATCCAACTTTCTGTTGAAAGGGTTGACGGATGAAGCCTCAACCACGTGCTGAAGTAATGAATTCCACTCGTTAATGATTTGATGGGAAAGTCGATAATCAACTGACAAGTAATTTTTCCCAGGCTTGTGGACATTTTGAAGTGTCCTCGCAAATTCTCCGTTTCAGAAGACAAGAAAAATGAGGGCGTATCGGATGCAAATCTATCACTAAGCAATTTGAAAACTGTAACCAAGTCGCCTCTAGTTTTTCGATATAACAATTTTAGGACGTACGAATACTGTATACAAAGTCATAAACGTTTTAGCGTCGACATGACTGAGAGCCCTACGCATTGGCCATAACGTTCTAAAACCTTTGTCGGCCATTGCATGGCAGTGTGCAGCTTTGCTGAAGTCAATGTAGGCTACGTCTAGAGGTAACGTTTGGTCCTTAAGAGCGTGTAGAATTATGGTCTACTATGATATTAGTATTGTTCTAATAATAGACTTAATTCTAAAATTGTAGATTTTTCATGGTACAACTGCCTAATCTATAAGATATTACGTGGAAGTTACATCATCATCTACACCAACTCACTGCATCATAACAATTATCAACACATGATGGATAACAAGCTTAGGCTAGAGTTAGAACAATATATTTAATGTGAATAAAAGATTTAACGTAATATTCAGCACGGACCACGCCTGCATGGCCGAGCCAAGCCATCCAGTCAACTCCAATTCGTTCAATTCCTTATCCCCGCCTTCTCTATTCTTAGGTATTTCTCCGCGTTTAATATTGAATATTTATTTTACGAGTAGTCTCGTGTTCAGCTTTGAGGATTGTGTGGTTATGATCCAATGCCACGACAAGCGCACCAGCTTTCACGAGCGATTAATAAGTTAGTGAGACAAGAATAAGACATTCTAAAACCATGCTGTATCTCCGAAAGAATTCAGTTTTCATCGAGAAACTCAAACAATTCTTTCCGAATAAACTTTTCTAAAATTTTAACAACCACACTAGTTAGGCTAACAGGTCGATAATTCTCAGGTTTATGTTTCGTACCTGTTTTGAAGACAGGACTTACTATAGCGTTCTTTCAGTCTTTTGATAAAAGACCGTGGATTAAGGATGGATTAAAGCATATACTTAAAGGGTTCGCCACGAAGTTAGCTAATTCCTTTAGTAGCCTAGGATGCAATTCATCTGGCCCTGTGGATTTACCTACGTCAAGCTTATTTAGCAAACCAAAGACATCGAGTTCTTTAATGGTCACGCTGTCTAGTGTTTTTATTGCAGATTTGTATGGACTGACAGGAAGGGTGTTTCTATGGCATATAAATTACTAAAGCAGTTTGAGAATACTTTAGCCTTACCAAAGTCGTCCTCCACTAATGGTGAGGCAGTACTTTCTCTCCATAGCGCAGGAATATTTCCCCTTCATTTTGTTTGGTTTATGTAGGAATACAAGCGTTTAGGACATTCTATAAATTCCTTAACAATTTTCTCTTCGTACAGCTTTCTAGACTTACTGAGGGTCGAGGCACAGGTATTCGAGCTTTTCGATACTGAGACTTCGTCTCATCAGTCCTCAGTAACCCAAATCTATCCCACATTTTTCTTCTCTTACGGAGAAGGATGAGAACCTCCCTACTGAACCGTGGTGGAGAGTTTCTCGGCCCTTTGGTGTAGTCCAAGGGATATGGGATGTGGTAACTTTTAAGTGTAAATCTCGAAATACGTCCCAAGCCGTTTCAATTGAGGACTCTGTGTCTATCGCTCAATCTACTGACGATGCTGAGTGCATGATATCTTGTATGTTTGCTTTCCAGACGTTAGGTCTGGATTGAGCTGTCATGTGTTCGTGATTGACAGTTATTTGCAGGCCAAAAGTTAGAACTGCATGATCACTTTTACCTAGGGGTGGCATGTAATCGAGGTTCGCAACGTCATCCTCACAGTGAGTCAATATAAGATCTAGTAAGGATGATTCAGAGTCCGGGTCGTACCTAGTGGCTTCTTTCACATGTTGCACCAGGGCATATGCGATAACCGTACCAAGTAGTTCCTACTCGAGAGAATTATCTGACGAAACAGTTCGCAGATTTTCTCAGTCTATCATAGGTGTATTAAAGTCCCCTAAGATTAGACATCGACCATTTTGTGACCAAGTATTGAGACTACCTAGTAGGACCTCATTTACCTCACAGCTTGGACTGCGATAGACCAAACCAATCAGCAGCTCTTGTCCCTTGCATTTTAAGCTGCAACTAACTAATTCACACATCCCACTCTCGTGGGATACACTTTCGATAATGGCAAATGGGATAGCATTCCTAATGAATAGAGCTACTACTACTCCTTTACGCTTTTGTATTCTGTCAGCCCTTACCAACGTAAAACCCTCGAAATCAAGTTCCATACTACTATAGACTGTGTCAGCCAAGTTTCCGTGACTGCGATTATGTCTGGCTTTGTAGAGTCGATCTGTTTACCTAGTTCCGATCACTTATTGAGCAAGCTTCGAGCATCAGTGTAACAGATCCGAAGCCTATTTAAGTGGCTTAGTGCATCACCCAGAGTGGCTTCGGCATCATTCTCTGTCGAAGCCTCACAACCCGGAAATTTACAATTTTTAGGTCCTTTTCGCCAGCATCTAACCTAATTTTCGGCCTTCGGTCTTTTTGCACGCTCTGCCAACAGCAAGTCCTAACGCATAAAAACTCCCGAACCCTTTAAACTATGTTCATTCTGTAAAATTAAATTCTTTTCATTCGAAGATTTGAATACTACTTTAAGCAGTCTGCATTGATTAGGCTTCAAGTTCACCTTTAGCAATGTGACTCCGGCGATATTTTGAGGCATGAGTTAAATAAGTAGCTGTTTTATCAGAACAATGTCATGCTCAAAACGAATTTTCGGTTCGGAGCTTTCACTCTCCTTGATTTTATAAAAAATAACTGATCTGTTTTCAATTTCTCGATTACTTTTATGGGGGTATGATTCCCTTTTATGTCGTTATGTCGTTTCTTGCTTACAACCTGCACCCATTCATTGACGTTGGTTGAAAAAGCAGGCACAGTTGCGTCAAACGTACTGTGAGACGACTTGTCAAGTCAGATTATATTTTCAACTAGAAACCGATCGGGTCTTGAGATGGGGCTTCTAAGCGTTTCCTGCTGGATACCATTTAGAGGACGGAGGACAGAAAAACTTATTTTCTTGAGTTTTAAGTTAAGACAGACCTCTTTGAAAACTGTTCTTTCTCCTTTGGTCGATGTGAGTCAGTTGTTTTCAGACTCACCTGCGTTTGCTACACACCAATTCGCGTATCGATAGAGAGCGCTGTCCGATGCGTCCCAACCACGCTTGCCAAAACATTTTTTTGCAGCGTTTACCACTGAGATGACCTCGGTTAGCGAGCCGTTTGCATCCGAACAGCACTGCTGACAAAGCCACACGCAACCGTTTTTACTGAACCGTTTAAAAGCCGCAGGCGTTAAATTCCTGCAAGCCTCGTGGTACCAGCTTTTGCACTCATCGCACTGCATGCCGCTTTCAACGGAATATCGACAGCCCGGACGTTAGCAACTAATTCTTTTGCACTTTCCAGTCGTCAAACAGAAATCTTTTTAAAAAAGAACAGGATACAATAGTACTCAGAGCTAAAAATGATTTATGACCAAAAAGTGGAAAACTGTAAATTGTTAGAACGAAAAGTACTAACAGATACAATAGAAAACAAATTACGCAAAAGTGCCGACGATAAACAGAAGCGATGCTATAATCGAATACTTTAACTGAAATAAATTCAATTAAAGTGTAACAAGTAGTCTTGATACGTGACAAACGATCGAAACAATATAATTTACTCAGCGATGAAAAATACCACTGTCCTTTCTAAGTAGTGAACTCACAATTTGGACGGTGTTGTTGAAATATAGCTAGTAGCAGATGAAATTTTATATTTCATCTCTTTGTAACTATCATAGTTTCTGTCCATTTACTCGGTAGTAATGTAGTGCTAAATACTCCTGAGAGTATTTCGACCGACTTAACTGTTACTTCTCGTCAGGTAATCCTATCTCAAATATTCTTGGTATGAGGCGAATTCGAAAATTCTTTAAACGTTTTTCTGTGTGTAGAAGAAGCATAATTCTAATAGTTGCAGATGACATATACTCATTAGGTCCACGTACAAAGTAAGAACTTTATTTTCATGTGATCTATTCTGATAACAATGCGGTGCAGCTGACGACACCAGAAAAGCATACTTCTACATGTAATTGTCGTTACCAATAAGGTGTAACTCTTAGTTATGCAGATGCTGAAACAACTGTAGCGTGGTGTCTAGTCGCGGTTGACTATGAACACCACTACAAGAAGAGCGCGTACCAGACAAATCAGAAGGCGAAGAGAGATCGTAACCAGATTTATTCGTTGGCGATCTCGTGGTATCGAACGAATACCGAGATCGTTCCAAAAGGAATACAAGCGGAATTAGTGGGCAGAAGAACGAGTGTACAAGGTCACAGTCCACGGGAGAGTAATGGCTGTCTTTAGTACAGTTAAACAAACGAGCACAGCAAAACAATCACTGGTA